AGGGCTTATAGGGAAGCCGAAGGTCCCAGGGAAGGGGCCACAGCTAATGAGCGAAGGGGGACAGCTGAGTCAACTGCCTGAGATGCTATCTGCAAGGCTCGGGCCACAGTGTATGGATAGAACGAAGCTGTGGATAAACCCCCTCAATATCAGGATGTATAATGGGCAGCCTCCTGCCTAATTAACACCTTAATTATGTTTCATCAAGGTGTGGCAGGAGAAAGGTGGGCAGTGTACCCAAAGACAGGTGGGGAAACTAGCACTGTGGCTAGTCTAGGAGCCCCACTTTGTCACACCTTCCAACCCTAACTTTCTATGAATTGGGCCCCATGGAAAGCATTGATGACAGGAAGTCACAAGTGTGTTGGACTTCACATTTTTAATTTACAGTACAATCATTCAAAAAATAAATACATCCTTAATTACATACTGTAAATTCACAATCAAACCAAACTAAATTCAACCTTGATAAAAAGGGGTGCAACCTGATTGGCTTTAACCAAATTGCACCCATTTTGCCAGCAATGAACTTGAAACAACTGACTCAGAATAAAGATTCTATGATTTAAGAAAACAATATTGGTGTTTGTGTGGGTGTTTCTGTGCAAGTCTTTAGGCAGCATAAATAACTTCTTTCCAAACATTTAAACTATCAAATGCATTTTAATTTGGCAAATAATGGAACACAAGTCCAGAGAGAACACCATTCGAGAGCAGGATCTAAACCATCATTTACTTAAAGTGCCCAGAACTGTGCAGTAGAGACCAAACTTATCTAGCGCTAACTCAAAGTAGTCAAAAGCCTCGGTGTTGCCAACTCTCATGATTTTTGGTGTTGTTCTAAAAAAGTCTATGCTTCAAGAATATGAAAGAGTTAGCTCTTTCTTTTATATACGGCAAAGATTTAAGGGTGCAGTGCAAAAAAAGGAAGACTGTTTTCAGGTTTACTTTACTATGCTTAGCCACTTTTCCTAAACACATCCAAGGGACTATGCATGCAGAGCCCCAAATACATTAAACTAGTAGCTGGACTGAACCCCTTTAAACAAAAACAGCCCTTTAAAAACCTTAAGTCAGTAATTCTATATACAGGCAACCCTTGCTTAACGCTGTTTCACTTACTGCTATTTTGCTATAATGCTCATTTTAAACTGATACCTGATTTCACTTTGCGCTCAGTGAGTTTCATTGTAACGCTCATGGCCGCCATCTTGGGTCACTACACAACTGCAGTCGCCATCTTGGGTCATCAAATACTTTCAATTGCATTTAATGTTCATTTTGCTTAACGCTTGGTTTTTCAGGAACCAATTAAGAGAGCTAAGCAGGGGTGGCCTGTACTTCTATTTCTAGGCACTTGCTACTCCTATAGAACAAGTTCTGAATAGCATTATCTATGCCTGGTTGTTTTGGAAGTACTCTAGAGGACTAAAGTATTATTTATTGTTGTGCTCCCTGCACAACATGAAAGATCTAGGTGGATGAAGTTCTTGCAAATTGCCAACAAAATTCAGTCCATGTAAGTAGAGCTGACCTTATGGAAAATGGCACCCTGGACAAACTTTTATTTTGGTGGTGCCCTGCTGGGCTGGACTGGGCATTGCTACTTCAGCCTAGGATGGGGATCAGGAGAAGTGACCAGGTGTTTGGCACCTCCCTGACCACAGCACCCTGGGCAGTCACCCACCTCTAAAGCTGGCTCTGCATGTGAGGATGGCAGCTCTCTACACGTTCCTCTTTCCTCCCCCTCTTCAGAGCTGTACAGTAAGTGCTGGCATGTATTTTTCTCCAGTCAGGTTGTTGGCTCCCTCTACAGGGATACTCTCAAACTTGCACAGAGACAGCAATCTAAGGAATCTGTGGCTGGCATTTAGTTCCTCGACTTTCTCTGTTCCCCATGTGCTCAGTTCACAGTCCACTAGCAGAGGTTTTGGGGAGAGTCTGGAATGGAAGTCCTTGCTCTCATCCCCAGCCCTCCTCACTACTTTCGATATGCATAGACAAGAGAGAAATCTGGTCCCTGAGAACACATTAAGACTTACAAGTACATCAAGTTTCCCACAACTGTAGCCATACTATTGTGTGATGAATACATAATATTTAGCAACAGTATCAACATATCTGTATATGACCTAGTAAATACCTACAAGTCAATGTATATTTATTCTTGGTGATTTGCCTGGTTTCAGAAATGTAATTGGCTACTTTTACTTACACGGACTAGCGTCTTGTCAGACCATCTCATTCATAGTACAGTTCTGTCACTGTCATTAGGAGTTTGTATTGCATAAAATACGTATCTCCTGCTTAATGGAAGCATCAATAGTAGGTACATTTTGTACTACAAAGCTAGTCCAATTCTATCTGTTGACCACTGATAACTAATAAAATGCAGCCTGAGAGACCTATTTAACACTTTGACTTGCATTAGCAGGAGATGAGCAGTCCTTAGATCTCCAGTTGTTAGAGGTGTTATGTTGCTATTAAACTTTCTACATTATGGGGAAAATGCAGGTAGAATGGTTCTTGAACATGCCTCAACTCTTGGACTTCTTCTTTTCCTTGTGGAAGACTTGTGAAAGAAAATGTATTCCTTCAAGTACTTTTTTTGCCAGCCTACTTTCTTTGGAAGACCAAAGCAATTCCACTAAACTCTATGTAAAAATATCCAGTGATTACAAGAGGCATTTGATCGGGACCTTGAAATGGTAGCTTTTTTGGAGCACACGCCTTATCTTTAACTGTAAAGTGCCAGGTGCTACATCACAACACATTTCATCCTTCAACAAAAGGGGGTTTTGTGCTCCTTTGAACTGTGTCCTCAGAGCACCGAAGTGCCTCTGTAAGTAAGAGGCTCAAAGTGCAAACTCTGAGGGACAGAAAGAATGAAAACTGCCAGAATGATTCCCTTCTAAGATAAATATTGTAAACCTCAATTATTTGGACATACTAGGTCCTGAAGAGACACTAAGGCTACCTAAAAAAACATTGCTCACATTTTATATATATAATTTTTTTTTTTTTTTTAAAGAATCTATGGGGGGTTTCACAGAGCTTCCTCCTAGATACCAGCTACTGCCATTCCAATATTGCTGAGCTGTTAGGGCCTCTGGCACTGACCTTTGTCCTTACAACACATCCCTCTGGAGATGAGGGGAAGTGTGTCCAGGTTAGTACTGATTTGTCAGTATCATAGTAAGCTGGATTTTCCTGCTGTGAATTATCAGCAACAGAAAAAAAATGCCCTTCACAGAAAAAGGTGGAGGCAAATTGGGACAGCAGCCAAAGACCTCAAAGGTCTACAGAGCTAGGAAGGAATAAGAATAGGAGTAAGTGGTCTGCCTACAGGCTGGAAGGTCTGCATGGGAAATGATATGGAAAAATCTATCTCCAGCTCTTTCCTCATGGCTTTGTCCAGTTCCTTTGCACCCCAAGATGAAGGGATGTCTCCTTTGGGACCATAGGGTAACAGGAAACAGGGGAAATAGAGAAGATGAAAGCACTTGATGCTTCCTGTCTTCTGTGCCACAGCAGATATCTGGGCTTGCTGTTTGTGAAAACGGATGTCCTTATTTATGCTAAGAAAAAAAAACTTTAAAAAAAAATATCTCTCTGCTTGAACAATGAAATGAGCAAATCTCAATTGCTTAGTATTTATGTTCTTTCAAATGCTGTGAAAGAAAGTTGGGTTTCCTTCAGAATTTGTTTTTTGACTCTTTCCTCCCACCATGGACTGGTTTTATGAAAACTGAAATACTCTGATCTAAGCAAACCGACTATCCCTCTTGCAAGGGCTTTAAGTTTGCTGAACGTACTACCTCTCACTTTCCACCTATTTAATACATTACAGCTGCTTTCAGACGTTTTAAAAAACGCTTCACCGGAACCAGTGCATTACTTCGACCTGGCTCTGCAGCATCTCTATACATCAGGTGCTTCAGATATTAGATAAAAGTGCCAAAAAAGCCCACTAAAGCAGATGGTGGGTGAGCCAGGTCCAACTACCGCGCTGCCTCTGCTCACCTTGGCACAGGAACACGGCAAGTTTAAAGTTTTGTTGTTGTTTGGGTTTTTTAATGTCTGCAAGCGGCCTACTTTTATTGTCTGTCAGTCATGAAGGTGTCCAGCTGGTAGCTGAAATGCTAGCATTCAAATATAAGTCCTGCATTGGCTACACTGCTACATCCTAATCAAACTAAGTACCTGTTAAACACTAATCTCTTATGGGTTGCAATGTGACTTCCCACCCCCTTCAAAGTAAAAGATGCATAAAAAAATGACCAACCAACCCTTGGGTTAAGATATATGTAAATCTATACAGGTCCTTGACAATGCAGGCAGTAGGAGGTTTGGGTTTTGTTTTTTTTTTTTGTTTGTTTTTTTTGTTGTGTTTAAAGCAATGAAGTGCCTAAATACCTCTTTAGTGTGGCCCTTAGTCCCTACATGGCTTTAAACTACTCTGCAGACAGGCTTTTCTGTCTTTGGATATCCAAGTTCTCAAGTTCCATCTTTCCCTATTTAAACTACTTAAGTTTCTGAAGCATCTTTACATAGATTTATACATTGCTGCAGTCACTTCCTTTAGGAGCTGCTAATCTGTGTGGCACTCCTCAAGCTAGTTCTGGTACTATTAGCAGTGGAACTGTGATGGCATAAAGCTCAACATAAGCTCATCACCCAACTACTTCTCCAGTATGTTTTTAGGTCTTTTAGCCCCTAGGGAGCTCTGACCTAGCAATGGTTACAGTTTGAGCAATACCCAAGCTGCTTGAGGTATTTCTGTGCAAACTGGTAGGCACACAAATATCTGCAGCATTGATGGACATGCTCTTAATCTGGTTAGAGTTATTCCAGGTTAGTCTTCATTTTGGAGAAGGCCCCCTCATTTAACCAAGGAAAACCTGTATGCTGCACCATTGCCATATCAGCCCCTCTGTCCTGCTGTAGCAGTAAACTTCTCAACCAATTTGAGGATATAATCAAACAAAACAAAACTAAAACTACTAACATTATCCATATAGTCTTCAGTGCAAGTTTAGTCACCAATACACACCTGCTTTTTAAAAAAATTGGATTGTGTGCAGGGATGAGTGGATGCAGCAGGAATTTATAACATGATAAACAAGGGCCTGATCAAAAGTCCCCTAAGGATTATGGAAAAACTACTGAGCCTCCACCAAGCTTTGGATGGGCTGTAAGTGCATTTCTGCTAGCTATGATATTTAACAAACAGACAAAACCACATTATGAAAAGCCAAGACCTCACGCATTTGAGGTTGCAAGTGTGTAACTCCCAAACAAGAACTCTATTTTAAAGTGATTAATACCTAATATCCCTTTGGTAAGCCTTAACAGACATTATTAAAATAATTACGGATTAATAAACTGGAACATACAGAAACTGCAAATGCGCATGTACAGACCAAACACTTTAAGATCTTTACCCGTCCATTCCTTAAACACAAAGAATATAAAGTTACGTTTGCAATGAGGTGCTGCCAGCAGAGAAGGCCCACATTTTGTCACACAACAAGTGCTGTTCACTCACAACTTCAGTGAGTGTAGAGGTCACTTCATATTATCAGGTTTTAGCCCATATTTTAGATACACTTTCCCTAAGAAGCAAGGGATTTTGTATGGTCATACTGTAATTTTCAGAAGGCAGGAAACACAAGCTTAAGTGCAGAAGCAAAATATGTACATACCTGCTGGATATCAGCCTGAAATGTTACTGTTAAAATTGAATCCCTCTTAAATATAGTTCCTGATGTTAATTGGAAAAATACTACTAGCCTCTGAAGTAAGCAGCTAAACCATGTTCAGCATAATACAGAGGAAGAAATAGATGACTGCAAGGAACACACAGAGTTCTAAGGCACTGTGTGACTACGTTTTCAGTGCCTTTTTGAGGTCAGAATAAAAATTAGCCAGGCTGCTAGCCATGGCAGTATCTACTGCAGATTGTGGCAGCATCCCTCGAAGTTCAGTCTGGATGAAGCCCGTCAGAAGACTCTGGTCAGGGTTGTCCTTAAGTGGGACACAGAACCAACCGCAGGGGTGATTAAATCCCCGGACAAAATTAGGCCTTACTTCTCCAAATTCAAGACTTAGCCCTAGTTTTTATTTAAAAAAAGAAAATGGAAGGGGAAAAGAAAAGTAAGAGAACATAGCCATAAGAATCAAGGAATCATGATCCAAACTGGGAGCCCAACTGCACTCTTTGGCACATCAGTACACTTTTCACTAGTGATCAAAACAGAATGCAGCCCTTTCTTCATAAAGCTGTATTCCACTGGGTAATTAACCAACTAAACCAAGATAAAGTGGTATGTGAAATAACCCAGTTAAAGCAAATACAAGGCAGAAGCTTCTGTATAGGAATATTACAAGAAGTGCCAGTCTCACCTTTAAAAAGGCTTAGCTCAGCAGCCAAATTTCTGGATACTGTTCTCTGTCTTATTTTTAAATAACTCAAGGTTGTACACTCATTCCTCCCTCTCTTCCACAGGCAGGCAGAATCTTTTGGCATAAGAGCATGTGTTTACTCCCATATATAAGCAAGTTCTAAATCCAGCTCCACCTGATTAATAGTGTAACATTGGGCTGTGCACTTCACTTGCCATAATTTTCCCATGGTACTAAAGATTAGTCTTCTGTAATTGCTCCAAATGTTAATATACTCTTGGATGGCACTCATATTAAAAGCAGTGTACAAATATCAGTTAAGCTGATCTACACAGCACCCCTGTATGCAACTATCCTCTGTGCGCGTGTTTAAATCTTATCTGAAGGGGAACAGAATAGCATGTGTGCTTAACTCCAAATCCAGGGACATGCCACAAAACAAGAAATGAGCAGTGGTCACTGATGCCTTACCACATGACAGCAGGCCCTCTTCATATTGAGTAGTATAAGAGAAATCAATGAATTCTCTTGGTGCTATGATATTCCAGAGCTGCCCAGCAGTGGTATAGCGCATTACACAACAGTTCTTCATGAGGGGGACAGGGGAAAAAAAAACAAAAAAATAACCAACATCAGTTTAAAAAAATAATTTATGTTCATATGAAACAAGTCTCTTGAACAAAGTGTTGTGGGCTTCTTTCTTTTTTGCACTTACATTGCACTTTTTCATCTTGAATTACCCATTTTAGAGATGGCTACAGCCCAGGATTGCTCAAACCCAAGCCCATCGGCCACACTCAACCCATGGCACTGTGTCACCTGACCCTGCAAATATGCAGTGCAGCGAATCCTATCATGTGTGCTGAATGCATGCTGTGGCATATCAACACCTTTGAAGCACCACAAAGCATACATGCGCACTCATATGGACACGCCCTAGAGGTTATCAAATCTGGAGGCGGTTAAGCATACTCGGCATGCTTAGTTTGCAATTTAAAGGCCACTTTATTCAAATTTGCATTTAAATGAAACAAAACTGAAATGCAACAAAACAGAATTCAGTCTTCACCAGCTTTCTAGAAGGACTTCAAGTTTATGTAGTTATTAAAGACCATAAAAAATTAAGATTTCACAGTATCTGACTGAAAAACTAAAGCAAAAAATTTATTAAACAATGTACAAGCCAAAAATCTATTGGCTCTGAAGTTCTGAACCATAGTTCCCTAGTAGTCAGGATAAGTCTAACCAATGGCCAATAACTGCAGACTTCAGAGAAGTCCGAAATGCAACAGCAGAGAAACTACTCTTTTGGCAAGTCTTACACTTCAGTATACAATATTATTCTAGTTTCCCCAAACAAAGCCCTGATACCTCCTGAGGCTAGCCTATTTGGAACAGGTGAGGCTGTAGTTTCACAAAGTATGCTGGTCTTTTAACTTTAAAAAAAAATCTATAGCATAGAAGAGAGTACTCTCTAAAAACTGAATCTGAGATCTTAAAAAAACAAAACAAAACAGACATTGTAATGCCAGCCCCCTTCCTCCTCCTTCGCACCACAAGAGTGCCGGATCATTTTATAAATCAGAAAGATTTCTTACCTCTTCAAACTCTTCAACAATGTCCATAGTTGTCATTAAGCTATCCCAGTGTAATCTATATGGACCAGGGCGAATGTGATCTACTATTCTGTTGGTGACATCTTCTACCACCCCTTGAGTTTTGTAGCTAAAGAAAGATTGTACATTTGAAATGTAAGTATATAATCTTTTCATAAGCTTTCTGCTAGCTTTAGTATACATTTACTGTAATATATTACTACCTGAAGATAAGTATCAAGCAAACAATTGTGTTGGAGAGGCCGTATGCCCTCCCATATACCCCTGCCCTCGTGTCATCCAGGCCGTGAGGTTCCCCACAGGTCTGAAAATTTGGAGGTGGGGGAGCAGTCTCACAGCATCCCTGATGCTAAATTTTCAAACCCATGGGGAGTCCTGTAGGCAGATAGCATAGCCCAAGCTCAGCAGATCAGTTTCTGAAGAGTCTCGGGAAGAAATTATGTCTATTGAAGTAAATGGGAGTTTTGCCATGGACTCTGAAGAAGCCATGGTTTTTTTCCCCAAGTTGTCAATACCAGTTATTTTCAAGTTAAGATAAAAGCATTACATAATAATATCATACGAAATATACTACAGAGATTAGTTCTATACTGGGAGGAAGACTGTCTGGATGATCTAACCCAGTGGTCAGCAACCTAGAACCCGTGGGCCAGATCTGGCCTGCAAAGAGGCTGGATCCAGCCTAGGAAGGTCTGATCCAGCCAGGGGGATACAAGGGACTGGGCAACACATAGCTGTGCCAAGGTGCCTGTCTGCTCCACAGCACCCTCCTTTGCAGCCCTCCTTGCTGCTCTCTCATGCCTGCGCTTACCCTCGTTTGCGGGGGTGGGGATACGCAGCTTGAAGCAGGAGGCTGGGATGCAAGTCCTGGCCATGGGGAGCAAAATGTCTCCAACCCCTGCTCCTGCTTCCCTCATTTCAAACTTCTATGAAGTAAGTTTGTGGGACTGTAGAAACTTTTTTTTTTTCTTTTATCTGGTTTGAAACTAAACTTACAGATATCCACTGAATTCTTCTGATGGCTTGCGCCACACGGTTGCATCTTTCTGGGAAGTGGAGAGAAAAAAAGGAAGTAATGATATAATCATATTAACTTATGCTCTTTTCTAAAGTGACCATCAGTCTACTATCCAGGTGCTTCCCCGTGTCATATGCATTAGGAATAAAAGCACACATTTCAGAGATCCTTTCCCAAAAGCATACTGTTCATTACAAATGTTTAATTGGACTTTAAATCCAAAAAGAAAATGGTAATATTCAATGCACCATTTTAAATTAGAGTTTTGCAGTGCCAAGTACCTGAAAATCTTAACAGCTTCATTATGGCTCTGCTGATTTATCTGAAATACTAAGAATATAAGTCATCCAAAGATGACTAAGTATCACAATGCACCTTCTGTATCCAAGACTTCGAAAGTGACCTAAGCATTCTGGAGATGCTCTACGAATTTCTATTCTCTCTCTAATGAATACAGTGTTCATCTTTCACCAAATATTTATCCAACTGTTGAGCTGAACTTTGTGGCTGGTTTCTGAAGGCATGCAACAAGAACTAAAGAATAAAACTCTTTACAGGTCTGGGAGATAATCCCAAAAGGCAAAGTTTCCCTATTCAGGATCACTGAGGTGCAAGTGTTCGGAGTTAGAAACAGGTGTCAGGCAGTAACTTCACTCAGCTATTATATGGATAGCTTCTTTATATAAAAGAGTGCTTTCTAAAAATGAGGTTATACAAGTCCACATTTCCAGGCCTTGTTGAGCAATCCTAAGGACCAGAACAGTCAAAGGAAACTGTATATTGAGCAGTGAAAATTATGAGAGCCCTAGAGACATGGTGGTTTAAAACATTCGCATCTAAGAAAAGGACAAATATCCTTTCACTGGTTTCTGCAAGAAGGGAGTTATCTTTATGCTGTTACCCTTTCCCCTCCCCAGTTATAAGAAATGGGATTTTCTTATATTTTGTAAATAATAGATTTGGAAAGTACTTGACTCCATATCACTAATATCTGTTCCAAAAGAGAAATGGATTTTTAAGACTTCAAACCTGCTATTGCTCAGAGGCAAAATACTTATTCTTGATCCTACTGACTTAGATAGTTTAGTTTTTTTGGTCTAAGCCTATTTCAGATGAAGAAAAATGAACTGAAATTACATTTAAATAACACTTCCTTTCAAGGGAAATCCCAAACTTTGTACAGTTAAGCATGGAGAACTGTTCAAACTATTAGAACCTCCCAAATACAGATACATGTAAAAATACTTCTGCAAACAAGCAATGGAAATTCATTTTGGGGATTTAAACTGAAGCAACCCTAGGACACTGCTGTGTAAAAAAGACCTCTATCCAAAAGCACTGTGGGTAAACATATCAGAAGCATAACCTGCCATTATCTTGGAGCGAGTAAAGAAAAGTTTGGGGGGGAAAAAAAAAGCACTAATGTTAATATGAAGAAAATAAGTCCAATTAAGTACAAAAAGACTAGTTCACTTACTGTTTTCTTGGCAGGCCGCCATTCACTATCTTCAATGTTGTAGTACTGGATGAGAGTATTTTTCAGTTTTGTAGCCAGTGAAGCTGCATCTGGAAGGATTTCCATTCTTTTCCCTGTGTACTGAAATTTTACAATTACAATTAAAATAAAGATAGGCCCCGGTGTCTCTTTCTACCTAAGTAATTCCAGGTAACTTCAAAACCAAAAGTAAAATGAGACCTGGACTATGAATCTGGAATATGAACCCAGGAGCACTCTCTGCACCGCACCCCCACACACTGCATTCTGAGTGGTTTTACATTCTAGTCTTCATGCATGTACTTATTTCAGTGGATTTTTTTTCAAATTAATTATGCTTAATCCACCAATACAAATTTTGTTCATATCCACTTAAAGCAATCTTGGTCTTGAATTTTTTAAAATCAGAAATGGTTTGTTTTCAGTCTGGTGCACAAGGAAAATCTGAAAAGAGAGAGATGTTTTTCTTTCCTCCCTAACCTTGACCATTTTATTAAGATTGCTTTGCTTATAACTGGACGTGTCTACACATGCATTTATGCCAGTTCAAATTAACTGTGAGGTAAATTACTGTGCAGTAAGCGAGGAAAAAGCCAGTGTCTACAAATGCAGCGTTAATGCGCTTTAACGCCTACATGCAGACTGACTTGGGACTAAAGTTAGTCCCAAATCAGTCCACACACACAATGTTACTGCGCATCAAGCCATCTACATGTGTGTTACTGTGCAAGTCGGCATAAGTTACCATATTCACTGCACATTATGGACATGCATGTGTAGACTCGTCCCCAGACTACGCACCAATTTTGGTTACTGCACAATAAATGTGAACGTGTAGATGAGCCCACTGAGAAGTAGAGGTACTGCTCCATCCTACTGAGAACAGTGACCCTAGTTTCTTTAGGACTTGTGTACCTTATCAGCTCACCTTTCAAGAAAAAATATTCAAAGGAATTTTGACTGAGTGCCAGCAGTCCTATATGGCTCCTATTCCTGCATTTTTAAAACCACAGTACAACACTAGTCATATTTACACAGCATTCAGTTCACCCAGACAGGCTGACTGCCATCCAGAAAAACTTTATCACTGCAAATCTGTAAGACTTCAATGAGTTTGCAAAAAAGAATAGAAAACTAATCCAGAGTTGCGTCTTAATTCCAAGTTTAAAAGGAGTTCACTTTACGACATATTAACTTCGACATTAGGAAAGGAAAGTTACCTACCCTGCACTCTAAGTACCCTGACAATGTAGTTGTAGACTGTTTTAATGTCCAACGCCCTTAACATAAATTAGCCAGAAAAAGGGAGACTGCAGAAGGTTCCCCTATCCCCAAGTGCTTTCGCTATGTCCCAATGTTCACAAAAGGCAGTGAGGGGAGGTGCTTTGCAAGATGCCTGAGGCAGACTATCATATCAAAATTCAAGTCCAAAAAGAACCGCATGTCAAGATTGCTTTGACTAAACGAAAGCATTGTGTAAGCAATTGGCATTCCCAATTTTGCAATGCTAAGGTGCCTTGTACAGTACATCTTTTTTTTAACGTACTACTGACAATTACTGTTACTGACATACAAGAAGTCAGACATTAGGAAAACATGAAAATATACTAGTTTCAACGCAAGTAGCCCAAAAGAATTAACTAGCCTGTCCAAATTAGTATACGCCTTATAGGACAATTAGCGAAATTGGAAACTTGCCCAACTAAAAAGAATCCAGTTTAAGTTGAGAACAAAGATGGGATAAATGTCATCCAGTTTGATTTTTATCTCACTAATTTGTATTACACTAGGAGTCTATGACAGCGGACCGTAAACAATACTGGAAATGTGATTTTGCCCAACAGCACAGAAACTAATAGCTTCTGTGACGAAACATCAACACAGCATCTGAAGGCTTCCCAACTATATACGAATTCCTCTCTAGGAAGCAGGAAGTCTATAGTGCAAGGGACAATACACTAAGCTTTAATTTAGAAATAGATTAATGAGCCTGGGGATGAAAGGATGGCTGACTTTGTGAATTAACATGGGTGGTGAAAGGACAGCTGATTTTTAAATTAAATCATCCTTGCAGCAGGAGCTGTGTAAGCCAGGTCTTCCCTCCCTCCCTGCAAACAGAAGAATAACCAAGCAAACCTTTCCACTGCCAAGGAAGGCCACGCCAGGGCAGCACGAGTTAGCTCAGCTAACTTTGGTCCAGCACGCTGCAGGCCACCCTGGACGGGATCTCAAGGCAGCCCAGCGTGTCCCTGCTTGACACCGCTAGAGTACCAAGACCTGCTCCGTCTGGCTTCGTGAAACCAGCTCAGCCCACGGCAGGGGCGAGTCTGTATCCAGCCTCTCGTGCAGCCGCGCGGTCAATGCGCTCGGGCTCTCCCAGAAGAGGGGCCGCGGCTTCCCACCCGCGTGGGCACAGGCACGCACGAGCATGGACACGTGCGCGCGCACACATGCGCATGTGGACATGGGTGCACACGCGCGCGCGGGAGGACTCACACACAGGGACACACGCGTGCACACACACGGGCGCGGACACGCACCACGAACAGGCACGCGCACGCAGGGATGCCCGTCCATCCTAGAGGACAGCGGCGACCCCGTTTCCTTAGGGCTGGGCCCCCGGAACAGGGCCACGCGCCGCCCTCGTGCCAGCACCGACCCTCGTAGCCCCGAGCCGCCCCCAGCGCCCGCCCAGCGCTACCTACCTGCCAGCCCCGCGCGCCACCGCCTGCCCTGCCGCCAGCGGCTGCCGAGCCGCCGCCAGCGCCAGCCAATGGGAGCGCAGCCGGCTTCCCCCCACAGCCAATCAGCGGGCGGCAGCCCCGGCTCACTTGCCCGGCCCCGCCTCGGGGGGGGCGGGGCGTGAAAGGAAGGGACTCCGCCCCTGCTCCCCTCGGAGCGGCTTCATTGGTGGGACTGGTGCAGGGGCCTGCTCATTGGTGGCTGGCGGGAAGCGCTGCGCGCTGATTGGCTCGCGGGAATGGAATGATGGTGTTTCCGCAGGCCGCGTAGCTCCTGGTGCCGCCCCGGGTGCCCAGGGCAGGGCGGCGCGGGGAGCTGTCTTGGCCCGGCCCGGCGCTGCTTTCTGGTCCCAGGCGTTGCCGCTGCCTTGCGGTGCCCCAGCGTCCTCCAGAAACCATCCCCGATCTGCTGCCCTTCTCCAGCCTGTTGCTTTCTGTCTCCTGCCCTGCCTGGTCTGTTGCTCTTTTTCCTGCTCCCTGCCTGATTGCCTCCTCCACTTGCTGCTCTCTTCCCCGTCAGCCACTGTGTTGCCCATCCCCAGTGTGTCACGGGCCACTCGCCCATGCACGCGTGCACACACGCTACTTGTGGCACCCGTGCTGCAGGTTGACCAGCCCGGTGCACCAGGCCTTGCCTGCCATGCACGTGGAGCCAAACGCTGTAGGCGCTCCTCCCACCCCAGGATGGTGCAGGCTTTCACCTTCAGCGGGTTCTGGGGAGCCACTAGCAAGCTCTGAGAAACAGAAGGAGGGTGTTTGCGCCCGAAAACTTGCAAAGAACTTTTTTCCGACTGGTTAGTCGGTCTAATGAAAGATAGCATCTACCCAAAAAAACCTTGCCTCCCAAATATCATATAATGCTTTTATCGATTACAGAAGATCAACACAGCAATTCCTAATCACAGCAAAGGGGGTTGTCAACAGAGTCTGGGTGTCACTGCTGTTCACCACCCTCTTTCCTGACTGCTGCTACCTTGTGTTGTGGTGCTGCTACCAATGAGATGTATCCCCATCCGTTTCTCAGGGCTTGGACTGTGGGGTAGTGTAACAAAGTGTAATTTAAATCACTTGCATACGCCCACCCAAATTATCCCAGCATCCAGGTGAACAGATAATCAGTTGTCCTGAGATAGCTGCTGCAAAAGGTGCCATTATAGAGCCACTGCATAAAAAGGAGCTGGTTTGCATTGAGTGGATAGCTATCCCAGATACATGACACCTGCACAGGTGTAACTCACACTGGTGTGTCCTTACTGCTGGTTTTCCAGGAGAACCCTGCACCAGATTCCAGCGAGTTACACTGCTGTACGGATTTACTTTGTGTGCGCTCTCCTTTTATTACGCTAGTGCAAATGTGTTTGTTTGTTCAGAGGTGTAGGTTATAGCCATGTTGGTCTAAGGACATAGGCAGACAAGGCTCTTCAGGTGAATCTGGTATCTTTTATTAGACCAATAAAAGCATCCTTGAGGGATGCTTAGGAGCCTGGCGTTCAGGGTCCATGGATCTGGGGCAGCCCAGCTGTGCACAATGCCTTGGGACCAGGGACCCCAGAATATCTAGGTCTTCCTGCCTTCTTGCTACACAGCCGAAACCCTAGCAAACCAAACCTTCCTTGGCTTCTGACTACAAGCTTCATGGCTGTGAGCTTGAGAGCTGTAGCTTGAGCAGGACTTCCAGGCCTGTTTACAGACTGAGTTAGAGATGCGTGTGCTTTTGTAAGCAGCACCTCACTTCATCAGATGCTATGAAAGGGCATGAAGAGAGCTGCAAGCTAAATGCTGTCATCAGATGCAGCAGAGCTCATGTTGATGAAAATTATAAAACATAGATGTAAACGAGGAAGGAATTACAAATTTTATTCATCCAAACAACACAATGAGCGTTATTAAGATCAAATATTGGCTATAATTGTCCAGCACCTAACACAATTCTGATTCTTGACTGAGGCCACAAAGTCACCATCTTACTAATAAAAACAATAATCCCACAATTTGAGAAACTAATGTGGGAGGCCAGTTTTGTCTTGCAAGGTACAACAATTATCTTCCCAAAATTTGACCACTAAATTATGTGGAGTGTCTGATATTTCATTTCCCCAGAGATGATAAATAATTGAGATTTTCCCCCCTAAATTAAATCTATGCAATACAAGCAACTGGGCAACAATCTGTTAAACAGAGCACACAAAAAACACCTCTTGAGGGTTTTGAATGGCGTATTAGTAAATTAATAAATTTACCTTTAATTTCTTGCTAGTTTATTGGAAAAAACAAAATGTGTGTAGTTTACTAGCTACAGTGAACCAAATTCAACTCTGGTGGAGACAGATGCAGTATATTTTATATTCTGTAGACTTAGTCCTATGAGATGCTAAGCATTC